AATTTTTTGCTGAGTGTCTTAACTTGCCACAATGGAAGCAAAGAAGTTGTTCCCAATTGGTCCTATAACACGGCTTATCCCCATGGAATCTCCTACACTTCTGACACTTTTCTAGCTATTCAGTGCCCTTTTGCCCTGTAGATCTTGGTGCAAAAGGCCCAGATGATGAAGTACCCCCTGTCTACTCTTCTTGAAATTGTGGGAACCACTCCTAAAGTCACCTCCTAAGCCTGTTCTCTTTTTTTCTTCCCTGTCCCTGTCCCTTTTCTTTTCATTGCCCTTTTTTGTTCTCGAGCCTTGCAAACAACCTCTTGATATGTTGGTAGTTCCAAGGCAATTAGTTTCTCCTTAATGCTCCACTTTAGATCTCTTTCAAACTTCTTTGCTTTATGTCTCTCATCTATTAGCATGTGCATGTCTTGCCTTGCTAATTTTGTAAATTTCTCCTCGTACTCACCAACTGTCATGCCCCCCTGAGCTAAATTCATGAATTCTTGTGCCAAACAATCCTTCTCTACCTGTGGAAAATATCTCTCCAAGAATCCAATCTTAAACTGCTCTCAAGTTATTGGAGTAGTCGGGTATCTCTTCACTTCCTTCTCCATCCTCTACCAATGTTCTGCTTCATCTTTAAACATAAAAGCTACATAACCCACTTTCTTACCATCATCACACCTTGAGACCTCTAGAATTTTCTCAATATCCATAATCCAACTCTCTGCATCCGTAGGGGTAGTAGTCCCTGTGAAAGTAGGCGCCATCCTCTTAAACTCCTCAATGCTAAGTTCCTTCTGACCCTTTGGCCCTTCAAGGATCTTTGTGATTTCCTACAAGGCCTTCCCAATATCCCTATAGACATTTAGTGGTGGCTTATCATTTGTAATCATAGGAACGTCGTTAGTGTCAGTCCTATCGTTTGCAGCACTCTTACTTGTCTTTCTTGCAGCCATCTATACTTGCTACAAAATACGAAACAAACTAACTTGTCTTAATCACCAAAGCAATAATACTATGCAGTAGTATCATCATTCCACATCTCTCAAACCAAATCAATTAAACCCTAAATAATTCTTAAGATTCAACTTAATCTTCTGGTAATTTATAAACCTATGCTCTGATACCAAACTTGTCACACCCCCACCCCGGATCACAAAGGGTGGGCGGCGGACCGACTACCAAGGCCTTAACCTATTAACTCTGTGTATAATAAATGCAAAATACAGCGACAGACAAATAATAAAAGTGATCTAATTCATCGACCTAATGAACATTAGAAGAATAAACTAAACATCACTAACATCATTATTAAACTCATGTAAAACAATAACTAAACTATAAGGCTCACTACTCTAAAGTCTAAACATGAGCAACATTATTCCCAAAATAATTAAATATTTGGCTCAAAGTCATAAAATATATTTATTCCTGAAGACCTACAATAAAATAAATCTTTAATTCTTCTAATCCTTTGTCTACCCGAGGACTTACTCCTCCCCCTGATCCTCACCTGAAATATATTAAATGTTTGGGTAAGCGCAAAGACCAATGAATAGTAACTACCTCTAATGAGGTGTGAAAATAAATCTTACAGTTTATATACAAAAATAAACTTTGATACATACATAAGTACAACAAATTGTATTCCAATCTCTCTCACATAATCATGTAAACAAAATAATCTCAATATCACAAATAACTTTATAAATGAAAAGACATTTATAACTCAAAATACTCACACACACACACACACACTTAGTCTCAAATACATTTGTCAAATCATGTTTGTTATCACTTGTCTGGTAACTGACATCATCTCTTGTCATCACTAACCTGATGACTGGTTTCGTCTCTTGTTACCACTAGCCTGATAATTGGCCCTATCTGCACATCCCTATACCGACCACACCGATATACAATCTCGTTACCATTTAGACCTGGTAACTCAGTCTCATTCTCATAAAACATGATTTCAACACACACTAAAACTGTTGTTTTAGTCCCAACGCACACAAAATTTCTCTTTCATCACCAAAACACATTTAAGCAATGATATAAAATCATTCCATAAGTTTTTCAAATTCACATGTATAACAATTCACAATTGCAAAACATTTAATTGCAACCTCAAACATCAACATATATCATATATGTGAAAAATTCATCCACACGCACTCATAAGTTTAATATAGAAAATCCTCCCAAAAGAAGTAATAAACTACTCACTTTGATTTCTAAAATCCAATTCAAAGAACTCTTTCTTAACCTTAATGCAATCACCACCTAATTCAAAATAACATATCACAACCAATCCCTATTTCTAACTTCGTCGTTTCGCGATTTTATATTTCATTTTTATACCTCTCACTTATTGATATACACTTAATATATCTTGTACATATAAATATCCTTAATATATATGTATAAAACGTATTTCTTATCACTATTTATGATAATCTTAATATTATGTAATTGAATAACTTACAAACTTATCAATGATTAATGAATTCATACCTTTAATGAGTCCACTCTTTTTTTTTTTTTTTTCCTTTTGTTCTTCTTTCTTCCTTCTCTCTGTCTCTCCCTTTCTTTCTTTCTCTTTGCCGCNCTCTTTTTTCTTTTTTTTTTTCCTTTTGTTCTTTTTTCTTCCTTCTCTCTGTCTCTCCCTTTCTTTCTTTCTCCTTGCCGCCGCCTATTCCTTCTAGCTCAACAATACTAATAATATATATGAGGCAACTAGGGCAGTCAATTTACTTATAAGACACGATAGTTATCTCCCTTTAATGTCACTCAAGTCCCTTTAATTTCTTAGAATTACAGTTTTAACCGTAACATATTAGCGTACAACCAATTTTAAATTCTCTAGATAACTTCCTCTCTTTTTATTTATTTGTAAAAAAAAAAATTCAAACACATACTTGTATTGGGCAATTCACTTTACACAGTTATCTCTCTCATAACTATCAAGAGCATACTCTTGTTCTCTGTCACCTACTACTTCATCAATAAAGACCACCGGCCACCTACTACTTCATCAATAAAGATTACCGGTTATTTTTGTCGTCTTTAAAGTGGAGTAGCTCNAATTCAAACACATACTTGTATTGGGCAATTCACTTTACACAGTTATCTCTCTCGTAACTATCAAGAGCATACTCTTGTTCTCTGTCACCTACTACTTCATCAATAAAGACCACCGGCCACCTACTACTTCATCAATAAAGATTACCGGTTATTTTTGTCGTCTTTAAAGTGGAGTAGCTCACTCTGACTGAACCACTATACACCATCAACCACTGTTATCGTCTTTAAAATGAAGTATGTCACTCTGATTGAACCACTATATATATATATTCGACATGTGAGACATAAATCTACTTTTGTGGATCATCAATGTTCTCATGGGAGCACCCTCAATCTCTAACCACAATGAAAGTGGAACTAATTCTCATGTTTGCATACATGCACACATTCTTCATACTGACTACTATTTACCTGGTCAGGCCATACTCAGAGTGGATGATGAGAGCCATACTCTTACAAGTTAATTATCTAATCCCAATTTCCACAACCTTTTTATGATCTTATAATCCTAATGTATGATATAGTCTGTTCATTATATATCTAACTGTTGTCTTTCGTGATAAAAACGAGACTATAAAAGGAATGGAAGTGAGAATTCGATCCATGACAATCGCTAGATAACACCATTCAAAAAAAAAAACACAAAAAACAATTACACTCAACTAAATAGTTTAAACACTCGGTAAAAGTTGAAGTTTCATAATTTGTATTCTTCAATTTCATTAAACAAATGACAATCCTCTACTTTTATTAGGTTTTTGGCGTGTTCCAAATTCACACTATATAAGTTGAACAAAATTCTTGGGGTAGTTAAGAGATGGTGACATTACAGCAGCGGCATTACTCTTATTTTAATTGCAGGCATATTATGCAGGTCAATTGACTTCCACTAATATTTGGTTTATTGGTTATAGACATTAATACTGGGCCAATACATATTATATTGGACCCACCACAACCCATTGAATCTGGTACTCCACGATTTCAACCACCACATGCACGTGAGAGATGAGTGTTAACTCTGATATGTTGTTATTAACGAATTATGAAATTAATATGGTTATTAAATATCTATAATAAATAATATAGATTAATATTAAATATTCAGAACACACTAATAAAAAAAATTTCATAAATCTAAACATGAACTCCACAACCATAGAAATAACAATAAAACAATATAAATAACATAATATATGAATTACACAAATACAATACGATTGACCCACATCTTCTGCTTACCGAAAAAAAAAGAAAAAGTCTCAATAGAAAGATAGATTTACCCATCAAAGATACATTTGTTTTACACACGACAAGACAATTAGTGAGTAGATAGATGGATTGAGGACACAATATAATATTAAGTGTAAAATATATTTTTTTTTGTCCCCAAATTATATGTTTATTTTAAGTTTGTTACAAATATTTTAATTATATCAATTTGATCTTTTAACTTTTTAATTTGGGTTATTTTTGGTCTAATCAAAAACAATAATAAAAATTTACTAATAAAAATCGTCACGAGCATCTCACATGATCACACCAAGTGTGGTCACGTGAACATTTCTGTCAATCAATTCAAATTGTCATTTGCAATTCGACTCAAATGACACAAATTAANCTTTAAAGTGAAGTATGTCACTCTGATTGAACCACTATATATATATATTCGACATGTGAGACATAAATCTACTTTTGTGGATCATCAATGTTCTCATGGGAGCTCCCTCAATCTCTAACCACAATGAAAGTGGAACTAATTCTCATGTTTGCATACATGCACACATTCTTCATACTGACTACTATTTACCTGGTCAGGCNCGTCTTTAAAATGAAGTATGTCACTCTGATTGAACCACTATATATATATATTCGACATGTGAGACATAAATCTACTTTTGTGGATCATCAATGTTCTCATGGGAGCTCCCTCAATCTCTAACCACAATGAAAGTGGAACTAATTCTCATGTTTGCATACATGCACACATTCTTCATACTGACTACTATTTACCTGGTCAGGCCATACTCAGAGTGGATGATGAGAGCCATACTCTTACAAGTTAATTATCTAATCCCAATTTCCACAACCTTTTTATGATCTTATAATCCTAATGTATGATATAGTCTGTTCATTATATATCTAACTGTTGTCTTTCGTGATAAAAACGAGACTATAAAAGGAATGGAAGTGAGAATTCGATCCATGACAATCGCTAGATAACACCATTCAAAAAAAAAAACACAAAAAACAATTACACTCAACTAAATAGTTTAAACACTCGGTAAAAGTTGAAGTTTCATAATTTGTATTCTTCAATTTCATTAAACAAATGACAATCCTCTAGTTTTATTAGGTTTTTGGCGTGTTCCAAATTCACACTATATAAGTTGAACAAAATTCTTGGGGTAGTTAAGAGATGGTGACATTACAGCAGCGGCATTACTCTTATTTTAATTGCAGGCATATTATGCAGGTCAATTGACTTCCACTAATATTTGGTTTATTGGTTATAGACATTAATACTGGGCCAATACATATTATATTGGACCCACCACAACCCATTGAATCTGGTACTCCACGATTTCAACCACCACATGCACGTGAGAGATGAGTGTTAACTCTGATATGTTGTTATTAACGAATTATGAAATTAATATGGTTATTAAATATCTATAATAAATAATATAGATTAATATTAAATATTCAGAACACACTAATAAAAAAAATTTCATAAATCTAAACATGAACTCCACAACCATAGAAATAACAATAAAACAATATAAATAACATAATATGTGAATTACACAAATACAATACGATTGGCCCACATCTTCTGCTTACTGAAAAAAAAAAGAAAAAGTCTCAATAGAAAGATAGATTTACCCGTCAAAGATACATTTGTTTTACACACGACAAGACAATTAGTGAGTAGATAGATGGATTGATGACACAATATAATATTAAGTGTAAAATATATATTTTTTTGTCCCCAAATTATATGTTTATTTTAAGTTTGTTACAAATATTTTAATTATATCAATTTGACCTTTTAACTTTTTAATTTGGGTTATTTTGGTCTAATCAAAAGCAATAATAGAAATTTACTAATAAAAATCGTCACGAGCATCTCACATGATCACACCAAGTGTGGTCAAGTGAACATTTCTGTCAATCAATTCAAATTGTCATTTGCAATTCGACTCAAATGACACAAATTAAGAAGTTGAGAAATTAAATTGATATAATTCAAAGATAAGGGACTCAATTAACACAAAGTGCTTACTTGAACGACTACTACTGTATTTTGCCTAATATAGTAATATTAAGTAATTAACTAAAGTTTGGTTAATAAGTTTTGTTTAATCTAGTCTCAGTCCACTTTTTGAAAGGGAGAGCAGTTGTGTTGGGTTGGGGTGAGGAGTTTCAGTTGGTGATGGTGTTGAGGATATTGGGAGTGAGGAGGACAAGTGAGGGTACAACAGTAATTTCACAACCGCCGCTGCCGCTGCTGGTGGCTCTCTCATGGTTGATACTTGGCATCATCTCCGGTGGTGATGGTCGTCGGAGAGGAGGAGCGATCATCTTCGTTGAGGGCACTGGAAGTGGCAACGGAAGGAGCGGCGGTATTTTCGGCCTCGTCGGTGGTGGCGGAGGATTTTTGGGTATCGGAGGAGTAGGCTCGCCTCCTAATGTCGGAATAGCTCTCGCTGTGACGGCCATGGCTGGTCTCGCCTTGGCCGCCACTCTCGTCTACTCTCATAGGTAAAACTCAAATCAAATCAATTGAAAAGATCCCCAAATCGTCATCAAAATCAACTTTTGAAACCCTATAAAATCAGTAAGCCGATCCAAACGGAGACATATCGACATATATATAGAGTATATTGATGATGTTGCAACAGAAACCCTTGATGAGAGCTCTCCGGCGGAGTCACACTTCGTCACCGTCGTCATCTTCATCAAATTCCTCTTCGCCGTCGTCATCATGGATTCATTTGAGATCGGTTCTCTTAGTCGTTGCTTCCTCGTCCTCCTCACCAGTTTCCACTGATCGGTGAGTTAATTGATTTTTCCTCCATCCTTCGTTTTTTGATTCCCAGTTAAAAAAAACAGGAAGAAAATATTTTCGCCATTTTCTGTCTCCCTATTTGCTCAACTGATCTCGATCTTATAGTTTGCGTCGATTGCTCCACGCCACCTTTCTTACCTATCTCCCATGTGATGTAGGTCCTCCTCCTTGATTTTTCCCCATTATAAGTGTTTGTAAATATTTACTCTAACAAGAGGTCTATTTAATTTGATACTCGTTTTGGAATTTTCATGACAATGTGGAATTTGTAGCGAAGTTGTATTTTTGTTATACTCAACACATCATTTTTGGCACTCATAAATCCCCAGATGCTTTGTTATATGATTCCTCATTACATTTCTTGGTGAACCAAGTGGGTGGAAGCAAAGATTTTATCCTTTCCTTCTCGGCTTTGCCATTGACCTCCTGGTAATTTGGTTGGGTTATCAAGGCAACCACTTCAACTTTGTGTTGTGCTAGTAGGGATATATTATGTATGCTAAAAAACAACTTATTCCTCCTGTTTTTCCAATTTGNGTCATTGACCTCCTGGTAATTTGGTTGGGTTATCAAGGCAACCACTTCAACTTTGTGTTGTGCTACTAGGGATATATTATGTATGCTAAAAAACAACTTATTCCTCCTGTTTTTCCAATTTGCTTCTGTCATCTGTTATCATGGTTCTTTGGATAGCAAATTATATATTTTGTTTATCTGTCTGCAGGGGTAGTCTTAAATCACCATGGTCTCGGAGGAGAAGGAAACATGCTCTTCTGCTCAAGCAGTGGAAAATTTTATTTAATTCAGACGGAAGACTCTGTGATGGTGGAGTCAAGTTTTTGAAGAAAGTTCGGAGTGGAGTATGTTACTAACTTGTATAAGCCTACAAGTTCTTAATTGATGTATACACCACCTTATTTGCATTTAGCATTAGCTATTTCCTCTTGCATTGTTCCACATGGCTATTATTGTTATCGTTGTTGATGTTTTGACCCTTAATATCTTTGATGCAGGGTGTTGATCCAAGTATAAGGGCCGAGGTTTGGCCTTTCCTTCTTGGCGTGTAAGTATCTCATCATGTCATTTACATATATGTGCATTTTCTGTCAGGATAAATAGAAGATTCTCCGAAAGGCCGTCAAGATGAGAAGTGTACAAGGGGTATTGAAGATAAAACCCATTCAATTCTGGGACCGTCAAGCATCCCTGTTATTTGATGAGATGCATATTGCAGTTTTTTTAAAAAGTACTTGATTATTTGATAATCAAGTACTTTCTTTTTATTTATTCCCCTAATTTTATTTTTGTTGTATGAAATACTTTTGGATAGACCTATTATTGGGCCAGTAAGTTGTGGGTTAGATTTCAATCTGCTATGAAATTTTCTTGAATTTCATAGTGTTGAAATGAAAAGGTGGCACTTGGATTTAAAATCTATCTGGTTTTCATTTGTTTTAAAATTTATTACTCGCGACGGTCTTGTGCAATGCACAGAATCCCCATCCCACTCTATACATTTTTGATATTATGGAAAAATTACCCATTAAAACCACATCCCACCCCATCCCATTTTTGATATTATGGAAAGCTACCGGTTAATAGGTTCGACTAATTTTTTTTAAAGATGAGTGCTTGAGTAGTTTCATGGGCAATAAAGGTGGGAGTGGTAACATGGTTACATAACTTGGAGGAATTTGATTGGATAAAGGCATGAGTTAAAAAGGCTTCCCAAGCCTCTCCACTTAGTTTGATTCCTTTATATAATTGTATTGTTATTGCGTTTAGTATATTGGCCTTTGTTTTGTCAGGTACTAGTCATTATGTTATGGTTTATTGGATGAGTATAATTCATTCAATTTTTTCTTACAGCCTGTTTTGATAAAGTTATTTAGAAAGAAGTGGAAGGGAAAGAATGGGATGATTATACTTTTTTGGCCATTTCGATGTATCATAGGAGGAAAGGAGAGAAATGGGAGGACCANTGGATAAAGTTATTTAGAAAGAAGTGGAAGGGAAAGAATGGGATGATTACACTTTTTTGGCCATTTCGATGTATCATAGGAGGAAAGGAGAGAAATGGGAGGACCAGATAATCATCCTTGACTCACTTTTTCCCCCACTCAGAAGTGGGAGGAAATAGATAGAAAATGAGTCAGTGGCTACCCATTTGCTTCTTATTTGTTATAACAAGTCCTTTTTAATTGTGTTATTTCTGCTTATAGAATCGGACAGATTTTCCTGTCTTTTCTTTTAATATTCCATCCAACCAATGGGAGGAGTATTCATTCTCTTTTTGTTTCTTGTCTCTCAAAATTCCCTGGCCCTAAAATTGGATTCTCATCTTTTCTTTTCTCTTCCATAGAGATGACATTATCCTCTCTTTTCTCTTCTCTCCTGAACCCCCACATGAAACGTTACTGCATTTGCTTGGTGGCTTCAATGCTGGGCGGTATATCATAATATCTTTTAAAATATGGCTACGTTCTTTTGCCCCTATATTTCCTTGAAATTACTGGCTACTAGGTATTCGTAAATGCTTATGTTACCATTGTACTTTGTGGTGCCTGATATAATTTGTTCTTGTACGTCTATGTTGCTTTGGTGATACACACGAAAGATTTTCTAATTTCTGACCAGGTGCTCTGTTTTACAGCTACGACTTGAACAGTTCTAAGGAAGATAGAGATTTGATTAGAACTCTGAAGAGGTATTTCTTGTTCTTATGGCCTTCCTCACTCACATCCATCAGTGATTTTTTTTACTGTAACTGTGGCCGAGAAAGTGGTGTAATGCATTTGGCAAACATCATCTCACTTTCTTTTGCATCCTGACTTCAATTTTAATACTTACATCTATATATTTCCATAACAGAAAAGAATATGAGACCTTGCGGAGACAATGCCGACAAATCCTAGAATGCAATGATGAGAATTTCAAGTTGAGAGAAACTTCTGGAACCAAAGACGACAGCGGTGACCTTAGTCAAGTTGGTTATTCTCCTGGATCAGAAGAAGTTGGTAGTGCCTTGGATTCCCTTTCTGCTGAGGGAGTGAGCCCTGTTGATGAGGATACCAACCACCCTGTCTTCGGATCAGCCCTTGGAACATCTAACACGGTAGTGGAACAAGATGGGGGTGAGAGTGGAATCACTTGTGAAAATGCCTCTGAAGCTAGCACAGAATCATCTGAATCTGAATCTGACTCCTCTGAAGATCCTGAGAACACACAACCTTCATTTGCTGAAGGAAGAGCCGAAGGACCTGTTATTAATGAGCATGCTGAAGTGAATACTACTTTCTCCAAGTCAGGATGTGGATTAGAATCCCACACAGCTGAAGATTTTGCTACATGGCAGCGGATCATCCGCCTTGATGCCGTGAGGGCAAATGCTGAATGGATTATATACACGCCATCCCAAGCTGCAGTGTCAGAGATCAAGGCACAGCGAATGGCTGAGAGTGTTGGGTTGAAGGATTATGACCACTTAGAGCCATGTAGAATCTTCCATGCTGCTCGTCTAGTTGCCATACTTGAAGCCTATGCACTATATGATTCTGAGATTGGTTACTGCCAGGGGATGAGTGATCTACTCTCTCCAATTATTTCAGTTATTGAGCATGACCATGATGCCTTCTGGTGCTTTGTCGGTTTCATGAGGAAAGCTCGGCATAACTTCTGCCTTGATGAGGTGGGAATCCGAAGGCAGTTGACCATCGTGTCTAAGATTATCAAATGCAAGGACTCTCAACTTTACAGGCACCTGGAGAAGCTTCAAGCAGAGGATTGTTTTTTCGTGTACAGGATGGTGGTGGTTCTCTTCAGGAGGGAGTTGAATTTTGAACAGACACTTTGCCTCTGGGAGGTGATGTGGGCAGATCAGGCAGCAATTAGGGCTGAGATTGCCAAGTCTGCATGGGGTAGGATGAGGCTAAGAGCCCCTCCTACTGATGATCTGCTGCTTTACGCAATAGCGGCCTGTGTGCTTCAGAAGAAGAAGCTGATCATAGAGAAGTATAGCAGCATGGATGAAATCATGAAGGAATGCAATAGCATGTCTGGACATCTGGATGTCTGGAAGCTTCTAGATGATGCTCATGACTTGGTGGTGACTCTCCATGACAAGATTTAAGAAAACCTTAATCGAAGGCCTTGACTCACTTTGTTGTTCTTTGACCGCTTTTCCATTTTTATTTTGTTATTGCATTCTCTGCCTACCTCTTTGAAACTGCGGAGATCTTCAATTTTCTCTACGCGATAGTCTATTCCTGTATGAAGTAAGTTACGGAATTCATCATGTAATGTAATGCCCGCACTCGGAGCTCATTCAGAGTGATGGTGGCAGCACACAATCAAGTAAATTGGAATGACGAAATCCATTTTTCTTTCCTCTGGACTTTGCAGTTTTCAATGCCATATGTATGTGTCAAATATGGCAAAAAGGACAAGAGGCTTATAAGCAATTTTTGGTTGAACTACAAAAGAAAAAGAAAGAGATTGAGTAGTGCGTTTAAAAGGGTAATGCTATCTATGTTTATCAAATTTTTTTTTTTTAAATGTCTGTCTCAAATGACGTTAAATAAGTGAGTTTCATTAACATTTAGCCGTGGAAATTATGTCACATCACAAATGATAAAATATTTGGTAAAAAAAAATTTGGTAAGCACCCCGTTTAGTGTAGTCCTGTGAAATGAACTCAGCAACTTGAATCAATAGCCGATTTCAATATTTAAATCAGTGTGGGAAGCTCATTAGATGTCACAAAGCAAATGACAAAATCTTCCTCTACTCCTGACCAAAGTACAAATGAGAATGTCCATCACTGAATCTGNTGAATCAATAGCCGATTTCAATATTTAAATCAGTGTGGGAAGCTCATTAGATGTCACAAAGCAAATGACTAAATCTTCCTCTACTCCTGACCAAAGTACAAATGAGAATGTCCATCACTGAATCTGGAAAAATACCTAAATACCTTTATTATTTCAACTAATTTTCACTACAATGCCCTCTCTCTACTTCTACCTCTCCCATCCGCCGCCCACAAAAAAGGATTGTCGTCCTTGCAACTACCATCACACAGGCAGCAACCACCGTTGCAAGCCGTCACCACAGCCACTAACCACCATCACCATTACCATTGCACAACCACTATTGCCACTCCACCACCACCACCACCACCAAATCAAAATTAAAAAATAATAAACAAAAAAATCCCTAATTTGAAAAAAAAAAAAAAAAGGGAGTTTTGCAGAGTGTTGAAAACAGGGGCAAATTGTTGCAAAGCGGAGAAATCAGAGAAGAATTTCGGAATCAATTTCAATGGAGAATTTCAAAGGCGAATTCATTGGTGAGGAGTGGGTCTACACACGGTGCGGGTGGGGTAGGGGTGTATCGGTGTTGCAGATGATGGGTTTGGCTGGGGACGGAGGGGATTGCTTGGAGAGAGAGAGAGAGAGAGAGAGAGAGAGAGAGAGGATATGAATTATGTTCTGATCAATTACTATCAATCCAAGGCAAACAACAGTTAGGTTAATGAATTATGTTGAAATAATATTATTTGTAATAGAAATGCAGCCGCTCCACTCTTCCCTTTCCCAGTTTCCCTGCCCTTTTCCTCCTACCAAACAAAAGAAAGTCCACACGCTATTTTTCCCGCGTACCAAAACATGAGCAGCACTGAGATATTTATTATCATTGAGGTCGACCAGACTACAAGCACACATCTGGTGTTTGGGTGCCAAATTCAGGTGCTGGGTGGGTGCCATAATTCTGATGTTAGCCCATGAGGGATCAATTACACAAACGCCATCAGCCAAAATTCAATGAAAGATTAAGACAGACTCACCTGCAGTTAAAAGCCAATATGATGCATTTCAATCTCGTTTGGTAGTATACTTACATTCATCATCTTTGTGTGACTCATTTTTTCCCCTCAACAGAATTACTTTAGGGGACCTCAAAGTCCTTTACACACCAACTTAAGACACTTAGAACAAAGTTTAAAAACAGACCTATCTTTATAAAGAGGGTGGGCTTTGGTGCTACGCAAAGTAGTGCTTCATTATAATTTGAGCTTCAAGGGTGGTTCGAGTCACAGAAATAGTATCTCCACATGCAGAAATAAGGCTGTATACATCTTGTTCCCTCTCTAGACCTTGCAGTGATAGAAGTCTGGTGGAGTTGAGCCACCCTTTATTTTAACTATCACTAAGAAGCCAAGAATTTCATACAAATGGGGGGAGTGATTTTAGCCAAGGCAAGAAATGATGCAGGAAGGATCCACATACTTTCACCGCAGATTAAACCAGAAGCAACTGCTGGAACCATCAGCTCTGCCTTCTGATTGTTAAGCTTTTGCCATGCAAACACAACCAGAGTACCAATACTCATGTCTATAGCGAAGTAAGCGCCAACTAAGAAGGGTACTGCCATGGCCATTGGTATTGGCATCCACTTCCCTATCTTCTTCGGAGAAAAGTCTTTCACAAGGTTAATTACAATTGCAAAGGCAAAGAAACCGTAACAAAGTTGCAAGCAGTGCTGGGGCAAAGCTGAGAAGCCTTCAACACCAAGAATCGCCATGTTTCTGTAAATTATTGCAAAAGGAGCCTTAAACTCTCCATTTGGATTGCCCACATCAAACGCTTTGTAGAATAGAAAGAAGCTGAGTGGGGCCACTATGCAACCTATAGCTGTGCCAATGGCCTGACTCAGAAGCATTGCCCGAGGGGACGTGAAAGTAAGATGACCTGTTTTGAAATCTTGCATCAGATTGCAAGAAACAGAAACAACAGACTTGATCAGACCACACCCAGCCATCCCTGCCACCACGCCGTGTTCTTTTCCAGCCAATGCAGCTAGCACAAATAGACCCACTTTACCATAATTGTATGCCATATTTATATCAGTCAGACCAGCTCCATATGCATTGCAGAAGGCTAGAGATGGTGCAAAAACGTAGGCTACGATGACATAATACCACTTAATCTCAGGGAATATGAACGGAATGGCAATGATAGAAATAATGGCGAAGGCGACGTAGCCAACAGCTCCTATCCACATGGGAATGGTTTCTCTGATGAAGACTTCGTCTTGTTTTAAATCACCAAGGGCCTTGTTCTGGCTACCAGCAGCTGCAATGGTCATGCAATTTTCGGCAAATCAATAAATTCAACCAGATTACAAGCTAACATAACAGTTGTCATTTTTTACAAATACGCGTCAAACCATTTTATAGCATTTTTCTCTCCTTCAGCAAGGGCCCAAAAGGCTCCCCAATTTACCTGAGTTGAGGTTTTTTTGTTTCAATCTCCCGTGGATATTTATGAGTGTGAAGAGCATGATCTTGATGAAATTATAAAGGCCATCTCCTAGAATGAGAGCAATGGGGACAAAAACCTGCCAAAAAACACATGTAAATAATGAAAGTCAAAAAAAATTGTGTTGTGTTGTGTTGTATGTGTGTGTGAGACAGAGAGAGATCTAGAGAGAGAGGATTTAGGGACCTTGTAACCATTTAGACTCTTCATACTGGTTTCTGGTAAATCAGCAGGAAACCAATCTCCTTTAAGTTTATGAATAAGTGGCCACATCATACCCCATGAGAGTACACCTCCAAGAAGCAGAGACAAATTCACTGCGTGGGGACAGATCATTCCAGCTCCCACGTATGTCATGCTAAAATCGAAGTAGAATCTAAGCAAAACCAAGTAACCAACAACGTGTAATCAGTAAAAAAATCATGCTCTGAGATGTTCAGCTGTATGAATAATGTTTTAAGAAGTGTAGTAGTGTTTTAATCTATTGAAATTAGAACAACACGTACGTTTGCCTCCAAGCTTGCAATCCCAAAGTAGGGAACTGTGAGAATCCACATTCTTCTTTTCCAGTGTAAAACCATTGAAAAAAACCCCACAAAAAACTGAATGAGAAGAATTTCATGAACCCGCGTACTTGCTTCCTGCAAATTACAATGGGAACATCTACTCTAAGCCCTCAGACTGAGTTAATGGGAATGTAATGACAGGTGAGGTTAAAATTGCAAAGAGGGAATAGGTACCTAGCCATCTTGTCTCCAAGTGTATGAAATCCATTGATAAGAACTGCACTTGCCATTCCACTTGGAAAGGTCAATCTATAGTCAACTATCAAGATCTGCAAGGTAATTGGAACCCCATGAAAAATTTATTTAAAGGGTATAAAAACATATAATTTTCTCAACAAAAAAAAAAAAGCAAAATAATTATGACATCGTTCTAAGCTTAGATTATTAGAATATAAGGAAAAAACCAACCAGGGCTCCAAAACATCCCATAAGTGATGAGGTAATATCAAATCTACGTTGGCTTACTTATAATTATTAGCAAGTTGAATTGCCCAAGCACATGATTAGTATCTTTAGCACCAAGGAGAGAAGAAGAGAGAGAAAACTATCATCCAAAACATATTCCGGGTACTATGGAAACCCTTCAATGTCTTGGAAAATTGAATGAAAAGTAAATTTTGAAATTCAAAGAATTAAGCACAAGATTCACAGAAAAGTGTATACCTTTCGGAGAGGAATCAAAACAAAGAGACCAATGAAACAAACTAGGAAAAGAAAGCCGATCATCCAACCAATCCCAGGTTCCTTGTAGCTCCCTGGAGAATTTCCTGGAGTGTCAATTCCTGCCAGCTCATATGTCTTCTTGTTTAATCCCAAGAGATAAGACCCAAATCCGCCTAAAAATATGTTTGATAAGTACTAAAGCAAAAAAAAAAATGTTTAAGAAATTTGTTTTCATTATTTTATGGACAGGAAAGATCGAACTGAAACCTCAATGCTCAAATGAATTACCTCCAACAGCAATGCTATAACATGCGACTGCAGAGGTTTGTATCATAGTATTCTCCTGCGGAGTGAAAGGAGCTGAGGCAATTCCGGCTTTGGAAAGCAACTTTATCCATGTACGCATGAACACAAATGCGAGAAGAGCAGCGGAGACATTGAGGTGAGGAGTAAGTCCAGTTGTAAGGTTTAGTTTCATGGCTATGATGCTGTAGATGCCTCCAATCAGTATGCTTGCAATCAGTCCCCGTAACGTGATCTGCTTTGTCCATGATTGGATTTTCTTTGAATCCTCCTCACTT